AATCAAACTTGTCGTGAGTCTTGAGCTCTTGACACAAACTTGGCTTGAATGACCGATTTTAACCCTATTTAATAATATCTGATCTAGTACGGAGTATAGTATAATACAGAGTATGTGGTTACATTAATACGAAAAGGTATAGCCGTAATGAAGGTTGAGTAGTGTATTACAAAGTACTTCGTATTAATTTGGAGTTTTATCAATCTCTGATTGTTGGTTTTGAATTGAATTGAAACTAATCCTACCACACCGTTTCATAGGAAGACTTTCTTTAATTTCTTCAACTGTAAAAATAGCTCAAACTCCTAACTTGTCTTAGAAAGTGAAAAACGTATATGTATCATAATAAATCAATAGATTATAAATGTCTCCGGACAAATTAAAATTTTATACATATATATATAACTGTCTTTATTTTACCACAAACCTTTAACTTTTTCCTAGCTTGTAGCACAACATACACCAATGTCCACCAATACATCACCAATTCCAAAAGCACACTTTGCATAATTGTACATTTGTACTACTGTAACACAGCAATGTTAGCACCCCCAAGTTTAATTTGTTCGGATTAAAAAAAAAATATATATCTCAACGTTCAAAAGGTATCACTAATTAATTGGTCCACTCTGAAATCATGGAATTAAAACGAGGCTAGATCTTTGAATTAATTGGAGTGGATTTTTATTGCTTGAAATGGGTCAAATTAACAAGTGTTAATGAGTATTTATGGCAATCTGGGTTACTTCCATACCTCAAGACCTAGAAGAATGGGGACTAATTAAGGACCTAATTAATATAGTTGGAAACATCAATTGTTTAACATGGGATTGCTTTATTGTCTTAGCATTCCCAATATCTTTTATGACCAAATCTCATCTATTTCTGAAACTAAGCCCATATCTTGTATATAACCATTTCCCCTTTTCTTCTTCTTCTTCTTCTTCTTCTTCTTCTTCTTCTTCTTCTTCTTCTTCTTCTTCACACACCCTTTTGAGTATAAACATTGAAAGCATTTCCTACAAGTCTAAGAGTTAATGACAAATTAAAATCACGTGTTGATTGGTGTTATCATTCATATCAATATAGGATCAGATTAAGGAAAACCTATCCCACAATAGAAGAAGAGATAACCCCCTCTAACAAGCAATCAAGCTACGTACCATAGTAATATCTTTTTTAATAGATAAGAAAAGAAGGGGAAAAAAAATCATTACAACATCGGGGAATACTTAATACGAAGTACAAACCAATTTTCCTTATCTACTTACCTTTCATTTGAATAGTATTGCCCCAATGTATTCATCGTTATATAATTTACACTATTTTATTACAATGATAAATTAATTTGAAGTAGTTTTTCTAGATATTCTCTATAAAGGATAAAGATGATTATATCATCATTATCATTATTAGTTATTGTTAGAAACGGAATTGCACAAATAAAATAGTAAGAACAATGTTACCGAGAATAAGACTGAGTCGCGGACTATGTCGCTCTCTTTAGAACATTCGCGGCACTGCCTCAAACTTGTGCAAGCAGCTCGTACCAAAACCGGATGCCCCCAGGATAAAACAGTCTTTCAGAAGTATAAAATACCGGCGGTTTTGCACCGAACCACCGGACAACGGAACACCAGAAAATAAGAAAGAAACTGCTCGACTGTTTTGAGAGGAAGAGAAAATATATTTTGCAAAGTGGTTTTTTGTATTTTTTCGTGTGTTTAAAAACAAAGCTGGAACCGTCCTTTTATAGGTAAAGATACGTAACAGTAAAACAGCAACGAGAATCAAGCAATGTAACGGAAAAATTTAAACCAAAACAGTAAAACGTTTTGTAACTGAATATTAATCAAACCGGTAACAAAAATTAAGTTTGTTTAATAACCCAAACCCGACCCGACCCAGCCCGGCTCGGTTCGGCGCGCGTGTGTGTGATATATGGTTTACCATATAGGTCCTCCCTCTCCACAAAATGTGGGTAGCCCAAGGGCCACACCCCTTTAGCCCACTCTCTATATTATAAAGAGAGTAAAACTCTCATTTCCCACCAATGTGGGACTTTGAGTTTTTTCACAAAATTCACACACTACACACTTGTTGTTCCAACAGTTATTGTTTAGAATATGTAGATCCCTTGATTTACTCCTTAATGTTGATAGTCTAAGTATATCCCTTATAATTAGCTAACATACCTAGTCATATATTGTATCTAGTCATAGTTCGGTATGTTCAATGTTCTAATCTTGTACTATATATAATCGTGTATATTCATCAATATAATTAAGCTTTCCAACATTCGCTTTTTCATAACTCTATCATGGTATCAAGAGCTTTTGATCCATATTTTCTTGCTTCCGCTACTACCATGGTTACACTATCAAAACCCTTTGCCGACGCCGACAAATGATGGTGACCATATCAAACTTCCTTCTCGGAAAGCTTCAAACCAAAATCACACTTTTCGTTCAACTCTTCTGACACCCCGTATTTCATATACCAAGAGATGCCATTTATAATTTTTCTTTTTCTCCAAACCCCTTACACGGAGAAACAATCCTTTTTCGGTATCCCGTAGTTTACCTACCATGTGTTACCATATATGAAATTCTCTCTTCAAAACCATTATGGAGAAACATAACATTCCGTTCTAAACCACCAGCACCACCATTATAATTTTTCTATCTCGCCTTCAATGGTGGTGAAGGAACCTCTATATGTTTTTTTTTCCCATTTGTTGCAAGCATACGTTTTTTTTTTTATTTTTTATTTATTTTTACAATCAATGGTTCATGTGTTTAAAAACCGTGAAAAACACCCATTCATAAACAACTTCTTATTCTCTCTCTATATACTATCTTTTTACTCTTCACGCAATTCCTCCACCCCAAAAAAATAAAAAAACCATTTCTTTCTTTCTCTTTATCTCCTTTTTTAAAAAAAAACAAAAAAAAAAAAAAAAAAAAAAAAAAAAAAAACCTTCTAATGCTCCGCTCCCTCCAAACCTTTTATTGGAGAATCACAATGCAATGCAACCTTTCTTACCACCACTTCTGTTCCTACATTGAACAAGATTTGAGATGTTATATCCAAGATCGGTCTCTCGTTCCGGACGTCCATCTTGCGGGGGCGTATAAAGGATAAAGATGATTATATCATCATTATCATTATTAGTTATTGTTTAGAATATGTAAATCCCTTGATTTACTCCTTAATGTTGATAGTCTAAGTATATCCCTTATAATTAGCTAACGTACCTAGTCATATATTGTATCTAGTCATAGTTCGGTATGTTCAATGTTCTAATCTTGTACTATATATAATCGTGTAAATTCATTAATATAATTAAACTTTCCAACATTCGCTTTTTCATAACTCTATCATTCTCTCCTCCTTTGTACGAAGTAATTCAAAACAGTAATTTTTTCTTTACTAATGTCCAATATCATAGCAATTGAAGTACTTTTTGGTTCTTACTTAAGCCAAAAGAGTATACACGTACTCATAGAAATGTTTCAAATGAACCATGCACATTTTAAAGTATATCAAGGTATTATCAATAGAGAAATTAGCTTAGGATGAAGAGATCAATAAAATGTGCATAGCAAGATATATCTTTTATAAAATCTTATATAAGTAAAAGCATTATGTATTAACGAACGAAGGAAGTAATTAAATCACTCTTATCAATTATTCTAATATTTACACATATTTTAATAAAATCATTTTTTTAAGAAGTGGGTATATGTTTCTAACAATGTTCCATTTTAAAGGTTGATCGAGATGATCAAGTTAAAAGGACACGCCAAATTACCAAAAGCTGTCAAATTAGTTTAACTAAGTTTGCTTATTATTTAGTTAGCTAAATTGACTAAAAGAGAGTATATATTTTTCTCCACGAGCACTTGGTCGGGTCTATTAACATGAAGTTCAATTCAATGATTCATAAAATGAGATTATGTTCTAATTAAAATGAAGTCCAATTCAATGATTCATAAAATGAGATTATGTTCTACAAAATCTATCTAACAAAATACAGCGTATTTATAATTGATACAACAATAATTGCCACCAGTTGTTTATGTCCGTTGGATGGGGACAACACCAAGAGACAGGATTATCTTGGAAAATTCTCCGCCTCAATTCAATTACAATTATTAGTGATCGTGGTATTAGTTTTATCACGTCCTAGTATTATACGATGTCGTCAATGTATGATATCTCAGAGTACGTGTTACAAATCAATGAATTATAGGGTATGTTATTAGAATGAATAAGTGTATTGATGAGATTTAGGATATACAATTCATACAAGTAGATATCATTGAGATTTTAATTTATGGTCCACTGGCGTGCCTCTCATGTCATGTCAGATTTGTGACGAGCTTGGATTGAGTTGGACCATTTTCAATTAATGCATACCATGCTTGTCTGATTCTCGTGCTAGCTTAGCCCATGTGTAGCTATTGATTTCAATTAATATTTGCTTTCTCGGTCTTAAATCTTAGGTATTATAGATTTTGGAGGGATCAACGAGATTTAATCTCAATTGCAATAGTTACAAATAATCCCATGTCTAGTAAATAAACAAGGAAAATGATTTCTTAAAGGGTTTCAAGCTGAATTTTTTCAAAGGTTTTTTTTTTTTTTATATTGATATTCACCGTCCAAAAGTTGATTATGGTTATCAAATAAATTTTTTTATTCTAAAATAGTAATTCAAAATAATTTAAAAACTTTGGACAAAACATGCATCGATTGATGTTATTTATTTCTAATTAATGTTAAAGAAGTGCATATCATATGCAACCATTTTGTTAGATATGTAGTCGATCGTTTGGATAAGTTGAATACGAAACATCTTTCATACAAACCACAAAACAATGTCAATGTATAATATTAACAATGGTAAAGTATTGACTAATACTACAATGCTCTCTCTATGTATATATTACGAAGTATTTCCAGGAGACAATGCATTGTAAAATTGAATCAAAGTATAATATTTGGAATTTTGGAAAATGGGTAACTAAATATAAGTAGTTAAAAAAAATATATATAATTAGTTAAAAAAAAATTAAGGAAGAGAGAAAATAGGGGGGAAGAATTTAAAAATGGAGGCGGGCAAGAAATGAGGGGTTCCGAATATAATGGATTGGAAGTTTTGACAGTTTGATTATTTTCCTACCTTTTTTTTATTATTATTATTTTTTTTTTTAATATCTCTTTATAATTTAACCTTCTTCATCCTTTATCTTTCTCTTCCTCTCTAAATTATCTTTTTATTTTTATCTTTTCTGTTTTGACTAGTGGGATAGGAGGAGGAGGGATTTGGGGTGCTACTCAAAATAATCAACTAAATTAGGGAAGAGTTGGAGGTGTTGAATTCCAACGGTGAGGTCGAGTCACCGGAATTCTTCGCTTCTTTCTCTCCTTAGGTTTGCATTATTCTCTCTTACTTTACTTTTATATTTGTATTGTGTTTTTTTTAACGTATCATTAAAATCAAGAAAAGTCGTACATATAGAATCGTATGTTATTAGAAAGGTATGTTTCATACATTATGTTTTAGATGGGTTACAATTTTACATAATTTCACTTCATGGTTTTGCATGTCACAAAATCTTGATAATTTAATAAAGAATCAATGAGGTTGCATTCCAAATTAATTCGCTAAATCAAAAATGACCACTAAACGATTCCATAGGTTGGCTTACTGAATTTCAACACAATAATTCACAAAGTATACATTCGTTAAATTGGTACCAAATAAAAAAAGGGTAAAGGACTTTTCAAAAATAATTTATGCGCAATTTATGACCTTTTAAAATAATAATTATAATAATTAACTTGTACCCACTTTATTATAAGATAATTTCAATATTTATTGGTTGGTCATCCAAAAGAAGAAACTTTATGGGTGAGTAAAAATGGCTTCTTTAATTTTTGTCAATATTTTTCACATTTTCTTGTCTTTTTCTTAACTTATTTTGATGTGGACATTTGAAAACTTAAGCTTATTTTTCTGTTACCTTTCTTTTTAGCAGAATATATTTGTTGCTATGCATTAATCATTAGCACCCTTAAATTCCCAGATTTCTTTCTCCTTATATATAGAGCAAAAAAAAAAAAAAAGCTCTAATTATGAGGATGATCCTTTAATTTTAGGACCAACAAAAAAATTCAGATTATTTATTTTTTCTTACTAAGTAATTTTTATTTTGATAGGGATTGTCGAAAAGCGGATACTAATTATTTGAAGTAAGATTACAAGGCTACCTTCAAAAGCCAGAGTTTTCTTTGATTATTAAGTCCCCTTGATGTTTCTTAAGGTAATTTTTTTTGGCAGTTTTATTGATTCATAAACGAAACGAAAGATTATCATTAATAAAAAGTCATACGGCACTTATTATGGTTTTATTGATTAGAATGTTGGTAAATTTTGATGTATGTACAAAGTTACTTTGTAGTGGTGACGATGATGATGTTTGGAATGAAAATGAAAGGACCACCAAAAATAAAAGAATTTTTGGAGGACTATCATTTTTTTTTTATTGTATTATTTAATAGAATTATTTTGCTGGCAATGTTTATTAGAGATCATAAAGGCAGACAAACTATGGTTTATATATGAATATGATGTTTCAGTGGAGCATTTTTTTAGCTGAAAGTGAGATGATCATGACATATATTGATATATGTAGCAAGGAAAAGAGGGAAGAATAGAATTTCCAAATTTGTAATGTGTTGTGCTTGGTATTTTTTTTTTTTCGAAAAATTGGTAAAAATTTATGTTAGGTATGGGTGTGTAAGCTTTTTCAGTAACAAATTTGAGAAATATTTGTCTCAATATTTTGTGCTAGGCTAGATTTGATGCCTCTTTTGCTGTTATATGTTCTGTCATAAAAAATCTGCATCAGAAATTATGACTGTTTTTCTGTTTTGTTAATTCTTGTGTATGAATGTTCTTCTAACTGGTATTATATCTTGTGTGTGTGTGTGATCATAGGTACTCAATTCCCTCAAGATTAGAACGTGTCATCGTGTTTGGTAGAAGTTTTCTTATTTCGGCGTCTCAGAATAGGAAAGCTATCATTGTTGTTGGGTTTTTCTAGCATAAAAGATGGGTGGGTGTGTTTCAACAACACACTCTAAAGTTGCTCCTCATAGGAAGAAGTATACTAGAAGATTGAGAAAATGTCGTGGAAAGTTGAGCTCTAACATGGGGGAGACTCCTATCAAAAGGAAATCATTTAGTGATACAGGAAGCCGCATCTCTGTGAGCGAGTTTGTACAAATTGACATTGATAAGGGAGGCACCACTACTTGCAGGAGATCTGAGGTCTCTAATAAATCATTCCATCTAACCCAAGTGCATTGGAACCACGTCGATGAAAATGGTATTTTTTCACTTCCCTGTCATCTGAGGTAAAAATTAAGTCTAAAAAAAACAAAAGTTCACAAAAATAGAGTAGTTTAGCAAGAATTTTTATAGAGTAGTTTTCATAAGAGCTACACGAGATTAAATGAATTCACAAAAATAAAAGGTTATCATAAGTTCTGAGAAATTTAGATAAGATTTTTTTAAGGTGAAAAGAACGAAGCCTAATCTAGATCAAGCATTGTTTATAATTTTATGATGGTATTCTGTGTTATGTAGGAATCTGTCAAGAAGAAGCATGGTATGACTCAGTGAGCATACTAGATTCTGAATCTGACGATGATTTTATCAGTGTTTTCGGAGGTTAGCAGGACCATTCATGTCAATATACTAGTTTGAACAACAGTTTCATATTTAGCATGGCATCTATTTTACTGATTATTGCATGATTATTGTTTACGGGGGGTGGTAGATGGAAATATTCTCAACATGTCAAACCTGTGGTCAGGTGCACACATGTTGCGTCCCCAAGCAGGACTTTCAATTCCATGTGCAAATGGTGATCAAAAGGCATTATCAGGAGGCTCTTGGTCTGCGATTTCACCCTCAGTTTTCAGGCTTAGAGGCGAAAATTACTTTAAGTGAGTTGATCTCTTTTACATGCACCTTCATTTGTATGTCCTCTTCTGCAGCAGGTCTTGTAAACAAGTACAATCACCACGAATTTCAAAATGTCACTTAAAACGACTCAGTCACATAAAAGTAATTTCCTTTGTGTGAAGTTGATATTTATGTGATCTGACCAGTTGTGACATTTATGAAATACGGGGTGACTTAAGTCTGCTGCGTACACTGCACAGATTACATTAGAAGTTTAAATGCACCTTTTAAGTTGATGTGAATATCTAATGACACAAAATGACATCTTTGACATGCAGAGACAAAATGAAAAATGTAGCACCAGGTTATTGTCCTTATACTCCCATTGGTGTAGATTTGTTCGCTTGCTCAGAGAAGATAAGCCACATTGCTCAGCACCTTGAGCTTCCCTCTGTTCAAGGGAACAGCAAATTGCCGCCACTATTGATTGTTAATATACAGGTTTGGCACTTTCCTCTTTCTGCATTTTTTTTGGGAATGGTCATTTTCTAATATTAATGTTTCTGTTTTTCTTCACAGATGCCTACTTACACTCCTTCAATGTTCCTAGGTGACATCGATGGTGAAGGTATAAGCCTTGTGCTGTATTTCAGGCTGTCTGACAATTTTGACCAAGACGTTCCATTAGATTTCGTAGACAGCATCAAGGTACTTGTTTGGCCTCTCTAAAGTACTAACAGGGAAACTCATGTAGCATTTACTATAATTACCTAGACAATTAGTTCTAAAGAGAGGACATGTTCTTACAATGCAGAGATTGGTGGATAATGATACTGAGAAGCTTAAATCAGTGGTTCCTTACCGAGAAAGACTTAAAATCTTGTCAGGGGTAGTAAATCCGGAGGATCTTCAGTTAAGTTCTACTGAAAAGAGACTTCTGAATGCTTATAAGGACAAACCAGTTCTGTCACGCCCTCAGCATGAATTTTTCAAGGTTCGACATCATCCTCTCCTTTATTGATAGATCATTATTTGCAGGGTTTCAATAATTAGAACTCGTAGTTGTTAATCTGTTATAGTTGAGGAGCACACTTTTTGATTATTTTGACAAATGTGTTATTTTTCAGTTTTCTAATGGTTGTGATTATTCTGCAATCTGCGTCTAATACTGCTCTTCTGCTTTTTTCATATAGGGACCTGACTATTTTGAGATCGACATAGATGTGCACCGATTCAGCTATGTGTCCAGGAAAGCATTAGAATCATTACGAGAACGATTGAAAGAAGGAATTCTTGATCTTGGTTTGACTATTCAGGTACAAAGATGCTATGTTTTCTGTAAAGAAAAAAACACATCTGACGTCTTGACTAGTCATGTCAGAATCTTCTTAGTCTTTCTGTTTCTAATGTCGTGATCTTATTCTTGATTTGCTTTCTTATGCCGTATTCTTTTAACACAAATATCTTATATGATGTACCAATAGCAACTGACAGCATTCTTCGATTAATCAATTGACTTTCAGGCTCAAAAACCAGAGGAATTACCAGAAAAGGTGCTGTGCTGCATGAGACTGAATAAACTCGATTTTGTAAATAGCGGCCAAATACCCACACTTATGACCCTCAATGATGATTAAATTAAAATTGAAAACAAGTTTAGTTTGCTGGGAAGCCTTTCAGAAATCACAATATGAAGACAGTTTACACATTCTTTGTATAGTTTGTATCTGTATACTTTCACAGTTCACAGTAATTTTTTAGTGAGTTAAGGAGAAGGGTAAAATATAATAAAATGGTAGGAGAATCTAATTCTTTTCTAGAAGTCCTTCCTTTATGAAGTCATCTCTCCTCACTCCCTGTCATTTAATCTTTGTTTAACTTCTCTTGAAGTCTAGGCACACCATCATTCTTCTGAGAGTTGTTGCTATCTTGTACAGCAGAAGCACACTGTAATTGCAGCGTAATTTTAGTATCATTGCATACTGATCATTCACAAAAGAAAACCTTTTTAGACTACCTTTTGGAAGGGCCTTGTATTAGGCAATTGGCAGGACAGTGAATGACAATGGCTGGTGTTGCGGCTGTTGCCCTTTTTGTTCATGGGCTCGAAGCCTCCGAGCCTCATAAGTACAAAATGGTTACTGCTGAACACACTGTGGTGCAGTCTTAATCATCTGAAAGACTGGACTAACCCGAAATTACATGATTCGATTAAAACAGACCTTACCTATATATATTGGCGGATCGTGCATTCATTTTATGGGAAAGCCATATTAATGTAATTGATATTTAATAACTATATCATATATGTGTAAATCAACCAATCATAACAAACATATTTATTTACTGTCAATTCCGACCACAAAATGTGTAGACCCTTCTAAAACCATGTTAAAGCTAACAATAGTTCTCATAAGCAGATCTGTGGTTCAGTTTAGGATCATAAAACTATTGTTCAAGACCCAGTACTTTCGAGTCAGGTTTCTGGTTGTGTCAAGTTTTGACAGGTCTATTACCCCATTATTATGCGGCATAACATATTATTGCACTTTTCTGATGCAAAATAGTCAAAATTGCAAGAGTTAACATCTTACCACACCCAAGTACTAGAAGTGTTACATCGTGCTTGGACTTTCAGCTGTTTGGAATGAATCTGAATACCAAATTGCAGTTTTGTTTCCAACTGCGCAGAATACAAAGAAAAGCCCTATAATGCCCAGATATACCCCCCATAAATCTCCAGAGAACAATTCTCTATATTCCCCTAAAATTTTCTAAACACTCCTGTTATATGCAGTTTTGGCTACTTACAAATCTCAGAGATTAACCTATCATTCTGGAATCCTGAAAACCACATATACCCAGCACCACCACAGCAGAAACAGTTGGTTTCAAGTAGTTCCCCAATTTTTATTTATGTTTTTTTTCAAAAAAAAAATCTATGGCTAAAACAAGCAGTATGAACCCTAAACAAAATTTTGTATTAGTGTAATTGCAATCATATACCTTTATGATTCATTGCTCAAGTCTCAAGATTTGGGTTTGTGAAATTTGAAGAAGAGGAACAAGAGGCAGTAACCCAATTTTTTTTATTTTTCCTATATAAATGAACAAGTGGTACAATTCTTTGTTTTCCCATGTACAAAAGAATACATGTCAAAAACTCAAAATAATTAGGTACTAGACTAGTGTACATAATCTACACATACAACAAAGTTATTAACAAATACAATAAAAACATAAATATTTCCCGGATATTTATGAGATTCTTGATTTCAAATTTTCAACAATGTTCTCTATCGCTTGTATACTTGGCTCTTTCCTGTGTGTATCAGTTGCAAGGTCCCTGGGCCAAGATAAAATTCTGGCCAAGCAGATTCAAAGAAAGAATAGAGTATCCAACATACTGACAGACATCTGTATCTGTATCTTGACTCTTAAATAATTTCTTTTGACACTTAAGTCTATGTAATTCTTTCTTCTTTTAACCTTAGAAGTGCTACAGGTTGTTGATGAGTATTTGTAAATTCTGTCTTACCAGCATAAGAATTGGTATTAACTGCTGAATTGTGTGGTCTCAGTTGTGATGAGCTGTTAGCTGTATTGTGGCTACTCATTCTAGCAGCTGGTACATCATGGTCATGCTTGCCTTCATAAGTTGTAATGACTGCTTTAGGGTCTGAGGCTGCACGTTCTACATGCTTACGCACATTGCATCCTGCATAAGTGCATTTATAATAACTCCTGTTGAGAAAGTACACATATGTCAGATGGATGTAGACTGTAAAACGAACGTAACTATTGCCAACTTCACTTTAGTGGTACATAAAATTGCATGCCAAATAGATTATAATACTACAGGAGTAACTAGAAACATGAATGGATATTATAAATTCTGTTACATTAAGGGCAATTCTACCCATAGATTCAAAGATGAACACCTTAATACCTTACACAACTACTGTTATTCAAAACTCGGATTCCCTTCTTGATTAGCCTGTTGCTAGGATCAGGCTTTCAGGACACCTATGCATGCACTTTTGGCAAACCCACCATTTTCTATATCTTTCTTGATGGTTTATCACACAGTGACACAGACATACTACCACAACTTAACAATTCTATGCAATCACAATACTAAAGACAATACAGAGTAAACGAAGATTACAGGGGAGAATGGTTTTGTTTGCATCATTGCACAATGCATGTACTATTGAATCTTCCTCAATTACATAGTATTAAATTTCAGAAAGGTTAATAATTGATAACTCTCAATTTTATATTGACAACCATCCATTTGAATTTTAACATCACACAAGACCATGACACTATGGAAGAGAATTTATAGCTTACAAACACAATAGAAAATCTCTGAAATGAAAAAAAAAATAATAATAAAAAATACAATTAGGATTTCGATAATTATTAGACAACAGCAATAATAATTTTACTTTTTTTTTTTTTTTTGGGGGGGGGGGGGGGAGTTAACAGAAACTTGATCCTCAAGGTTCCATGAAATTGAATTTTGGTTTCAGATTTTGACAGTACAGAAACCAACCAACAAATGCCATTTTGGCATCGTGCCCCTACCAAGATCAAAAGATCCCTAATGCAACTGATTAGCACACACCATCAGAAACCCATTAAAGGTTTCTGAAACATTGATCAGTTCTCAAAACTAATACATATTCCTTACATGATTAGGTCAGTTACCTATATCTTATCTTCCTAAAAGGCTCCGTGATAGCTAATACACAAAAGATAAGTTCAGAGGGAAACAAGGCAGTATATTGGTCAATACAATAGCAAAACCTCAAAACTCTTCAGAGCATCAAGTACCCTCTTTTCCAAATTTTGTCCTGTACTCCAGCCAGTTTGAGGAAACAACATTAGAAACTTGTATGCCTTTCCTACTCATGGCTCTTTTATCATGGGATCACATTTAAATTACAAAAACTAGTGTATACCTCAGGCGACGCCCCTGATTGTAATTTTGTAATTTTTTTTTTCTAATGATGAAAGTTTGATGTCATGACATGATAAGTAATTGCTTGATGTTTGAAGCAAAAACTCTTAAAAGTTAGTGAATTAAAATCAATCAATCAATCAAAGCCTTAATCCCATAAGTGGGAAGTTTGTGAATTGAAAAAAAAAATACACTTATACTAATATGATTTCTACCATGAATTGAGGTAAGCGAATGTCTATACTACTTGCTTGTTATTATTACAAAAAGTGTTGGAAATAAAAACTTGTTTAACTCTTTTAAAGAAATACTTTGTAAGACTTTATTATTTTCATTTTAGAACATTAAACATAAATATCAAATTGGAATGGTGGTTAAATTCTCACTTCACATTTGATTGGTCACATGTTCAATCCCTTGCAATAAATTGAAGGGTTGACATGCATTTGAAGTCTTCCTTAAGGTTAACAGCCTCACCCCAATGCCACATTGAGAACACAATAAGCAGCAATCACATGGAGTATTTAACTAGCATCCTGATTCCAAATCAGGGACCAACTTTCATATAGTTGCAAATATTGCAATACAGAGCATTCATAATTAAAAAGCTAAAAGTTATGTTTGAGACTAAAGGACAGCTATATACAACCACAGAGCTAGAAAGTGCCTTCAGTTAAAACTTCCACTAAACCTTAGCTATCTCCAATACAGTTATAAAGATGTAAGTTAAGCTTCAGCTATGGTGAAAGTGCAGAAGAAAGGGAAAAGGGTTATTCGCCAACTCATTAACAAGACAGCATATTCAAATGAATTATAGTGAAAGAGTTGTAATTAATACATGCTCCTTGAAGTGATGGCAAGCAGATATTATAACATATGCAGCTTAATATCATAATGTGAAAATTGCAAAAATATAATCTAGACAAAAACTTGCACCACAATGCACCAATTTATAAAGAGTTGTTTGGAAAGATGATTGATAACCTGTTGATTGTGCATCTGGATGGACTACCAATTGATATACTAGATTTATCAATCATCAAACAGGGAAGTTGAAAATAACAGATACTTGCCATACTTCACAATAAGTATCATCATGCACAAAAAGGATTCACTACCAAAAGCTCAAAATTGATAATGGAATAGTGTTGGCATTCGAAATGGTTTCTATATAGTGTATAGTCACCCATATATTAACCGAAGAAAATTCACTTGCCTTGGATATGGATTGCCTTTGACAACTTTCTGTCCATACTTGCGCCACCTATAACCATCATCCAGAAGATCAACTTCACTAGTTGTTTGAACAATAATTCTGGGTTCTGTAACTGTCCTATGTGAAGCTGCTTGCTCTGTAACTCGGACTTCAGTAATCCTTCACAAGCAAGATAAAAAGTCCAATCAGCACAAAATCAGAAGAAACCAAGGCATCAACAGTATATAAGTTCAATGCAGATACAATAAATACCTTCTCTTAGCATTAGGTTCATCTTCATCCCCTTCGGCTTCTCTAGTTCCACCATTGCCCACTTCCTCTTCATCACTAGATAATTGCTCTGTTGTAGCTTGGCTAGATTCTTGATCTCTTTTATGCAACGAGTAAGCCATACTGTCACTAGTGCTATTCAAGTTACTAGCTTGTGGCTGCGAAACAGATTCTGGGTTTCCTTGAGTTCCCAGATTTTCATTATTATTTCCACTGTCCTTTGACCGTTTTTGTGGTGGCTGATGATTGTGCTGACCCTTGTAGATAATCTCAGTCACTTGGCCATCAAGAGAACGCTCCACTTTTTTCTTGACAGGACAACCAGCGTGTGTGCATTTGTAATAACTTCGTGGATACTCACTTCCTTTGACTTGCTTCTGTCCATATTTCCTCCAGTTGTAGCCATCATCAGCAGGCTTATCAACAATGATTGATGAATATTGTGATCTTTGATCAGAGCCAGAAACTTGGGCTGACTCCTTAATATCTCTGGAATCATGTGCAGAAGATGTTATATTCTTTTGCATTGATGAATCGGGGGCAAAACCTGGGAATGGCTCTGATGCTGAAGGACCTAATGCTAATGAAGATTGAAAGCCACCTTGCATATGCAAATTAGCTTGGGCCTGCACAGCTTGTGCAGTAACCTGAGCTAATGCCTGCTGGTGAGACATCCCGAATGGGCCCTACAGACAAACATTCTATAATTAGAGGTACGGCTTCAAGTTTCAACCATATATGTCTTCTGTATTCCCTAGTAGAATCAAAACAGTTTGTCCATGAAAGAATAGTTGGTCAAAGCCTCAAAGGGACATAGACTCTTTCCCATGAGAGTTTTGATGAACGCAAATATACATGTAAGAAAATTGTTTTCTTTTAATGTGCAAAATGACCGCCACAAACTCTTTAGCATGAAAATTTTGTCAACCAAACACCGAATACTTTTTTATTGTGAAAATTGTGCTCATTTTTTTAACGGAGATCCATCTACTTCCTGTGCTAAAGGGTTATGAGGCCTCATAAAAAGAATCAAATGCTTTTCATTACAAACGACGACACACTTACAATCAAAAATTCAGCATGAACCAGTGTCTGAAACAGATTCATAATCACCTATAATTTCAACAACCATTATAAGTTGCAACATAATTCACAATGCCTCTTACAAACAAAAAGACATTATTTTTAAGGACCCACATATAAAAATCTTAGCAAGCAAGCTTCCTTAATGTACTACCACTGATTCTACCTCATTTCTTGCTCAAATTCCGATAATTTTCTGAGTAATACCTTGGCATTTTACCATAAATCACAAAAATTTCTTTCAACGGGAGGTAGTAATCCATCATAAAATTCATAAATATCAATTTTTTAAAAGAGCAAATCATTTACTTTCGCCCCATTCACCATTCCCAAAAATAAACAAACCCACCAACAAAATTCATCATCATTATCACTATCATATTCATGATCATAATCATTCCCTTCAATCCCCAACAAAAATAAATTTCATGATTACAGCTGTGTATCATCAGCTTTAAAGTTTAAACCCAAGTCCTCACTAAGTCAACTCTACATTTTGCTACCAAAAATCCATTTTTTTTTTGTTTTGAAAAATTACAAAATCAACAAATTATTACAACATATAAATAATAAAATCCAAAAAAAAAAAAAAAAACTATATCCAAAAAAGAAAAATTATAAGAACCAACCTGTCCCGGAAATAAACCAGGCGAATCGAGCAAAGTAGCCGGACTAATCCCAGGAGAAAGCATAAAAAACCCTCCACCTCCGGCGCCGCCTTGCTGTGACGGCGGTTGAGGCGGCGGAGAAATGACCAAAACGGAAGGGCGATTATCCTTAAACCGGAGCTGGTCCGGTTCAGAAGGCGGTCGAGGGGAAGCCATAGCACCAGCTAGAAGCTGAGAGAAGGAGCGGCAGTCGGAATCAGGATCGTTCTCGGAGAAGAAATTCGACACCAGTGTCATCGGGCCAGGGCTGAGCCCGATTCCTGACCCGGTGAACAACGACTCGATCCCGGCTCTAGAAGGTAGGGTTATCGTCGGGCGTTGCGATGACGACGACGTAGAAGGTGGCGCCGGCGGTGGTTTAGCTGAGGATGGTGCGTCTTTGTTATCCGCCATTTTTGTTAGTTCAATTATCTCTCCTCTTCTCGCAATTGCGCGGTTGTTTTTTTTTTTTTTTTTTCTCTTCTGAGCAGGTGCTGCAAGAAAAATTGAGAGAAAAGTTGAAGTGCCTTTTTATCAGTTTCGATTTATTTTGTTTAATAATAAAAATACTAAAATTTAGTTTCGACTTTTTGGGGGTTTTTTAAGCATATTTGTTTATTTATTATTTACCATACCAAAATAATGGAACATAAAATGATCAAGGAGTACTTTCGGAAAAAACAAATTTTGGATCAAGAAGTCGATGAGAAAACATTTAATACACAGTACGATACAACAATGTCCTTTTATTTGTAGAGTGTTTTACTTCTTTGATATCTTTTAACAAGATCGAGCATATTATCACAGACATACGCTACCTTCTTAGCAAATTTGGCAGCTGAAACATTCGGCATATTTATCAAGATGCAATTAGAGCGGCGGATTGGGTTGCTAATGTGGATCATTTAGTTATTGATAGTATGAACATTAGTCTTTGTAACAAGGGACTTGTTAAACATTGCCCGCGTTTTTCTACATAAAGCCCACATTTTTTAAAAAATTTGACATTCTTGCCCTTGTTTTAATTTTTACCGAAAACGAAATTTTCACTCACCAAAAATGTGGAGCAGGACTGGATCGCCGAGGGACACCGAAGAGCCCTCAACGTCGGCTAGATGCACCGGAGAGACGCCGTCGACGCCGGAAAACGAGGTACGAAGCCGTCTAAAATCACGAATTGGGGACTGGCGTCCTGCCGGGAAGCCTCCGCCGTGGGCGGTGGCGCCTGGCTAGGCGCCACTGCCACGTTTCATTTTTTTTTTTTTTTAAATTTTTTTTTATTTAATTTAAACTTTGTTTTTTTTTTTGTGTTTTACAATTTTTTTCCTTTTTTTTTGGTTTTTTTTGTTTTTTTTTTTTTTTTTTTTAATTTAATGTAAACTTTTGTTTTTGATTTTTTTTTATCGCTATGTTTTTGATGTTTGTGTTTTTTTTTTGTTTTTTTTTGGTTTTTTTTTTTTGGATTTTTTTTAATTTAATTTAAAGTTTTGTTTATGTTTTTTATTTTTGTGTTTTGTTTTTGTTTTTTTTTTGTGAATACTTTTTGTTTATGTTTTTTATTTCTATGTTTGTTGTTTATATTTTATTATTGTTTTTGCTTTTATTTTTTGCACTTTACATATTGTTTTGTTTATGTATATATTTTTTTGTCAAATTGGTTAATTTTTTTTATGTTTTTATATTTTTTATTTCCGTTATTAGTATATTCTTTTATTTATTTATTTTGTATTTACTTTTTTAAAGTTCATATTGCACGTTTTAATAAACAAATGTATGTTCTAATTTGTATGTGTGTGAATACTTTTATATATAATTAAGTGTTAGTTTTGTGTTAATTATGTGTAAATTTAGACGTTAAATGTATTATGCGTTAAGAGTGGAAATTAGAAATTTAAAGTTTAGAAATTACTTTTGTGCTAAATTTGTGTCAAATGTATTAGTTTAATCTAATCTTATGTGATTATATTTATATGTTATTGTTGCAGGATTATGGTGGAGACGGAAATGATTATAGTGGGATTTTTGTACACGATGGTCTGTTCGAAGATGCTCAACAAGCGGTTGATTGGGCGAAACAGGTTGCAATTAGATCAGGTTTTTGTTTAGTAGTAGCAACTCATAAATCTCAACGGGATGGTAGAATGGATCGCATTTTGAGATGCGACCGTTATCGTAAAAGGGAGGAACGAGATTTCAGTCAAGCGATTCGGTTTGATACAAAGCGGCAAGGTTGTGGGTGTCAGTTCAGAGTAAAGGTTCGACAACAGCAAAGGCGTGACGGTTGGGAAGTGAAGAGTTACGGTAAATGGGGGTATCACAACCATGAGATGATAGCATATGAAGTGGGTCGTCGACAGTTAAGCGGCCTAAGTCCTGCTGCGAAACTAGTTGTAAAAGAAATGAGTGATGCTCAAGTGAAGCCTGCTAAAATATTAGCATCTGTGTTGGAGAAATTTCCTGAAGACCAGCCAAACTGAAGACACATCTACAACGTCAGACAGAAATTGAGGTTTGAACGGTCAGAGGGAAGGAACCCTATGCAGCAACTTCTACACCAGGCACAAGCACGTGGTTACCTGTACTGGTTTGAATCTGATGAAGACACATCGGAGGTGACTCATTTGTTCCTTGTGCATCCTGATTGTGCTGATATGATTTCGTCTTGGCCATCTGTGATTCTAATCGATTCAACGTACAAGACAACAAGTATAAGTTTCCACTGGTTGAGATGGTTGGGATGACTCCAACGAACCAGAACTTTTTGATTGGTTAAGCAGTTATGAAGGATGAGACGGCTGCGAGTTACCGTTGGGTGTTGGAGAAGTTGAGAAATTACATCGGCCCAAGTGTTCAGCCATCGGCCATCGTCAGCGGAGCTGTTTCCGGAGTCGAGTCATTTACTGTGCACATGGCACATCAACAACTGCGTGAAAGTCAAAGCCTACAACCTTTTCAACAAGAACTTAGATTCAGCAGAGAGATTGGTAAATGGTAAGTGGCGGAAGATCCTGCAAGCTACCACGGAGGCAGAGTACGACCGAGCCTTGGATAACTTCAAGGATGCTTACCAATGGTGCCCGGCAATCGTAGACTATGTGATGCAGCAGTGGGTGCCTCAGAGGGAAAAGTTTGTCAAATATTGGACAAACCAAGTTCTTCATTTTGGAAACATTACTACATGTAGAGTTGAGAGCGCTCATAGAGCTCTGAAGGACTGGATTGATTCTTCCACCTCTGCTCTGGATACACTGTTCGAGAGAATAAACAAGGCTATTGATACTCAGAAGAACGGCATCAAGAACTCTCTCGAGGACTCCAGACGGAGACATGGCACGATGTATAGCCATTTCATATTTAATATTCTCCATGGTCGTGTGTCACACTACTGCTTGGGGTTGATTCTGAGCGAGCACAACAGGATGAGGGAGTTGGGTGATGAAGTGGCTATTCGGTGCGGATGTGCTATATCGGTGACTCATGGACTACCTTGTGCAAGCACCATTCACCGCGTAATTACGCAAGATAGGGCGTCGTTACATGTTGATCAGGTTCATCCATTCTGGCGGACGCTCGTTATCGGAGAGCATGCTGTTCCACAGACGGTCAACTGTGAACAGGAGGAGTTGGAGCAGTTTCGTTCGATGTTTGACCAAGTGTCCTCCAGCCACCCAACAGGAGGAGTTGGAGGAGTTGGAGCGACCACGGGGCCGACAACCACGGCGGGAAAGGAGTGTGTTTGAGTACATTCGTGGTCGTGGTCGTGGTCGTGGCCGTGGCCGTGGTCGTACATCGTCATCAAGTGGTAGCCAATCTTCTTCGTCGGTGAATATGCCCGGCACCGGTACGGTACTTTAGTTTAATTTACTTTTTAGAGTGTTTTTTTAGTTTTATGCTGACTTGTTAACTGTGTTTATTGATGTGTACAACAGGTAGAATGGACATTGAACATTTTCCATATAAAGACAGGATCCCTAACATCATGATGTCGTTCCTGGATGGGTGGAATGATGTGGTTGTAGATGGTAACTGCGGATTTTGGGTTGTGGCTGATGTGTTTCAGATGGGTGAAGACAACTACGGTTTAGTGCGTCAGTTGATGTACAGTGAAATCGCCTCAAACCGAGCTGTTTATCGCCACGTGTACGGACAGGACTTGGATAGGTCTCTGCAGGCTGCAGCGTATCCGGTGGGGAGGAGGACCTTGCGGTCAAAATCATTGGTTCGACGTGCCACTTGATCTCTTCGCCGTTGCAAACATCTACAAGTGTACAGTCATGCATTTCGGCCTTGGTTTGCATAGTCGAGCTTACTATCCATGTACCACGGTTCTCCCTTGGTGTTCGCGTGAGACCGTCACCAGACCGGTAAGAGAGGTTGCTGTTGGATTTCTGGGGCCGTCATACAGACATTTTATCCGATTAGACCTGTCACCCAATTTTCCAGTCCCACCGATCATACCGAAGTGGTACACCATTCGTACAGCAAGCGTAGAGGGCTGGGATGCGCTATATCATGACCGAGTGCAGCAGTGGAACAATCCAGTTGCCATTTAGTTTTTTCCCGTGTACACCAACCTTTTCTATGTGACCTTCTATTGTTATTGCTATGTTTTTCCCATTTATTTAATTTTCGTATTCTAATTTTCGTATTTAGTTTTCCCATTTATATGTGACCTTGTATTTAATTTTCGTATGCACACTAATTACAACTTAAAATAATAATTATAAAAACTAAAAATATAATGTCAAATTCTAAGAACTTAAAATAATAATTATAAGAACTTAAAATGAGGAACAACTTGGACAAATCCAAGCTGGCGAAGACAGCGCTGCGGCATGTACGCCTCTACGATCTCACGATACTGAATCAGTCCCGTGTAGAGGGTCCTGGGTACCCTATTACTAGGGTTCTGGCCGAAAGGCATCCAGTTCACCTGCACATTTTTTAAAATTAGTAAGATTCATACAATAAACACATCAAACTATAAAAGTAGAAATAATTTAAACACTTTACCTCTAATGGGGACATCCTGTCAAGCGATAACCGTATCGATCGCAGGCGGTCAATGGACTTCTTCTCGATACGCGGACTCCACGCACAGGCACGTGGCTGGCCATCCCCAATAGGAACCGGGTCGCGGTGTGGTCGAAACGCCGGGAAATACTCGTATATCCACGTCTGTAACAACGTCATACATCCAGCGATACCTGGCGCATCAGCCCGGCTCGAGAATCCTAACTGGCGATACATGTACGCTAATGTAGCCGACCCCCAAGAAAACTGGCCTACTCTGTCGGGCTCACACGCGTCAACTATGTCGCGTGGCCTGAGCTTGTTTCCACTCTTATCCGGAAACAAGGTACACCCGAGAAGAAGAAAAACATATGCAGCCAGTTGTGTGTCCTGCGTCCTACGTGAAGTGGGGTGCAAACATCGCTGCAAAACGGCTGCGATCTTAACACCGCCGTGATCCCACACACCAAGTGCCGCTGTGCAGCCCTATCCACCGCCAACAGCTCCGCTAGTAAGTCTGCCTGATCCGCATCTGTGACAACAGATGCTCGGTTTCCCTCTACGGGAATCCCAAGGATGGCCTCGACGTCATGCAACATGATCGTCATCTCACCGAACGGAAGGTGGAAGGAGTTCGTGTCCGGCTGCCATCGCTCAACGAAAGCCGTGATCAGCGTCGAGTCAATCCTTTCATGCATGGTGGCAGGAAGGTGACTCACTCCACTAGCCCTCAATCGGCCGACCATCTCGCT